TCAATTATGCCAAAATTACTCCCGGAATTTTCTCTTAATTACCCTTAAAGCACAGTATATATGATTTTTGCATATACAACCCTATATAGCAATGTGGATGTGTGATATTTTATATATGTGATAATGTATAATAGATTATATGAAAGTAAAATTTTATACATTTCTCTCCTTTTGCCATATGTATATAGTTGAAATTTACATAAATTAAATGCACATATGATGGGACTCTGTTGAAATAGATTAATTACTGGCCAAGGAGTTAATTCTTCAAGTGTCACCTATGTCACTTGGGACAAATCACTTTGCCTATTCAGGCCTTAGATGGCTCAGCTATGAAATGAGGAAGATATATGTAACACTCATTTTTCTTTAATTCAAAGTCATAAGGGATAGGTTTATAGAAATGAACTTCAGAATCATTCATTCCTTGAATTCTGCATTTCTTTTTTGTCTAGAATTCATTCACTTAAGTAGGTTTACACAGACTGTGGCTACCACATAGATTTAATTCTGAAGCTCACAAACAAAAACTTCCATAAAGGGTGAAACAAATTCCTAGGCAGAGATAATCTCTCTCTTCTCTGGAACACCCTCTCTCCTCTGACATGCAGGGTATTTTGGGTGATAAGTACAAAAAGAATAACTACTTACCATTCTTTCCTGAAATTGTCAAACTAAAAACTGGAAAAGTTTTACTGAATGATAGCTTTTTATTGCCTGGTCAATAAATATCTGATTACAAAACACTGTTGAAACTAAAGATCTGAAGAAATGGAAAGACATCCCATGTTCATGAAGTTGAAGATATAATATTAAGAGTGCAATAGCATCTAAATTGACCCATAGATTCAAGGCAATGCCTACCAAAATCCCAGCTGCTTTTTGGTAGAAATTGACAAGGTGATCCTAAAATTCATATGGAAATTTAAGGGATCCAGAATAGTCCCAAAAAAATCTCGAAAAAGAAGAAAAAAGGGTGGAGAACTCACACTTCCCAGTTTTAAAACTTCATACAAAGCTACCGTAATCAAAACTGTGTAGTAATAATCTTATCTAATAAAGAGGGAATATGCAAATTGACCATCATGCTGTAATGGTCAAGATGGCTACACCCACAGCAGAGGCAGGGATTCCATAACACAAGAGGGCTATGTCCACAGCGGAGGCAGGGATTCCATAACACAAGAGGGCTATGTCCACAGTGGAGGCAGGGATTCTGTAACACAACATGGCTGCACCCACAGCATAGGCAGAATTCCTGTAACAAGCCTTAAGGAGCAATCAGCAGGGACCTGAGGCTGCGTGGCACTGGGCTAGGGCAAAAGACCTGAGGCTGCGCCCCTCTGCCTGGTAGGGCTTGACAGGGGACCTCAGGCTGTGGCCCCCTGCCCTGGCACTGGGCCAGGGGACCTGAGGCCATGCCCCACACCCCGGCGGCGCTTGACAGGGGACCTCTGGCCGTGCTCCCTGCCCAGCGGGGCTTGATGGGAAACCTCAGGGCACAGCCCCTGCCCAGCAGGGCTTGACAGGGGACCTTAGGCCATGCCCTCGCCCTGGTGCCGGGCCAGGGGACCTCAGGCCATGCCACCTGCCCTGGCGCCAGGCCAGAGGACCTGAGGCTGCACCCCCCGCCTGGTGGGACTTGACGGGGGACCTCAGGCTGTGACCCCTGGCCCGGGCCAGGGGACCTCAAGGTGTACCTCCTGGCCCAGGCCGGGGGACCTCAGGCTGCGTCCCCTTCTCTGGCACCAGGCCAGGCAACCTGAGGCCGCGCCCACCTGGAGGGTTTGATGAGGGTGGGGCCGGCCAGGTCTGGATCTAGTCCAATGGGGGTGGGGCCAGCCGGGTCTGGGTTTTGTGTGATTTCGAGGCACATGTGGGTGGGCGGGGACTTGACTCTGGTTCTCGTGGCATGCCCCAGACTCTGACAGGAGGAAGATTTTCATATACATTTTACTAATTTTCTTTCATCTCTGATACTTCTATTATAAAGAGCAAATAGCAATATTAAAATATTTCCTCTAATTAATTCCCTTTTAATGTGCACAAATTTCGTGCACCGGGTCATTAGTATAAGGATAAACATATAGATCATGGAATATAATTAAGATTCTAGAAATAAACCTTCATATTTATTTTTTTTTTATTTTTTTTTTAAATATATTTTTATTGGTTTTTTAGAGAGAGGAAGGGAGAGAGATAGATAGTCAGAAACATCAATGGGAGAGAAACATTGATCAGCTGCCTCCTGCACACCTCCCACTGGGGACGTGCCCGCAACCCAGGTACATGCCCTTGACCGGAATCGAACCTGGGACCCCTCAGTCCGCAGGCCGACGCTCTATCCACTGAGCCAAACCGGTTTTGGCAAACCTTCATATTTAAAGTCAATTGATTTTTGGTGGGGGTACCAAGAAAATTCAGTGGGATCAGTCTTTTTAACAAATGGTGCTGGGATAACTGGATATCCACATACAACAGAATGAATTTTAACACCTACCTCATACCATACACAAAATTAACTAAAACTGGATCAGACACCTAAATGTCAGAGCTAAAACTATAAAACTCTTAGAACAAAACATAGGAATAAATCTTCATGACTTTGGGTTAGGCAATGACTTCTTAGATATAATACTAAAAGTACGAAGCAAAAGCACTGAGTAAAAGAAGCCAGACACAAGAGATCAAATATTGTAACATGTCCAGAAAAGGCAAATCTATAAAGACCAAAAGAGATTAGTGGTTACCTAAAACTAAGGGGAGCAGGGCTGGGAGAGTGGGGAGGTGGGGAGGAAATGGGGAGTGACTGATAATAGGTATGGAGTTTATTCGGTGACAAAAATATTCTAAAATTAGACTGTGGTGATAGCTGCACAACACTGTGAAAATATAAAAAAACAATGAATTATATACTTCAAATAAGTATGTTATGTGGTATGGGAATTATATATCAATAAAGCTGTCAAAAAATAGTGATAAATTCAGTGAGAAGGATATGATCTGTGTATAAAGGCAAGTCACTTTTTATCTCTATATTGTAAGGGACAACATAATCTATGCTGTGTCTTCTTTACCACTTTGGTGAACAGTCTGATTACCTACCTGTTCCCACTCATGCTTTGTTAAATAATCAGAAGGTGATCCACTTAATTTGACTCCCCGAGGCACATGTCCTTTATTCTTCTTCGTCTCAGTACCACTATCTTTATCCATTGGAACTGGTGGCATTAGCACGGATTTCATCTACAAAAGAAATTCTTGCTTTAGTCAAACCCTATGCTTGGTGTGCTGCATGCAGAAACTTCAGTACCAGTTACTATTCTGTCTATATTGTTGTGCCTCAACCCAGTGAAAAACGCATGGTCATCTTTTGCATCTCACCCATTTCCTTTATCTTAGTGATTCATTGATATCTAGAAAGTGAGCCTGTTAAATTCTGCTTATACATTTTTCAAATAGCCCTACAGGGAAAGTTTCCCATTAGTTTCTAAAGGACCCTAGAGGCACAGATGTCAGTGCTACACATGTTCTGAGGCATCATCTCAGGAAATGGAAGATGCTAAGGGAAAACTGTCTCCCTCTGAGCCTTAATCTATACACTAGAGGCCCGGTGCATGAAATCTGTGCATGGGGCGGGGCGTCCCTCAGCCCAGCCTGCACTCTCTCCAATCTGGTACCCCTCAGGGAATGTCCAACTGCCAGTTTAGGCCCTACAGGATTGGGCCTAACCAGCAGTCGGACATCCCTCTCGCAACCTGGGACTGCTGGCTCCTAATTGATTGCCTGCCTGCCTGCCTGATCACCCCTAACCACTCTGCCTTACAGCCGGGAAGCCCCCTACCTGCCCCCCCGGCGGGCCCTGGATCACCCCCAAACAACCTCTGCCCTGCCCACCTTGATTGCCCCCCAAACTGATTTCC